GCGGAAGCTCTTCAATCTCATTCTGACGCAGGTAGAGACCAGTGAGATCTGCAAGGTCGAACAGAGATGGAACCAGTCGACAGAGCTTGTTCTTACTGAGGTGGATCTGGAGTTTGGGGAGGAGAGATCGGTACTGCCCCGCCGTGGGGAGCTCAGTGTCGTGGACGGGCGGGTCGCTGATGACGGTTTTGAGGTTGCCGATGTGCCTAATGTCGCTGTCCTCGAGGCCCTGGCCATCAAAGTCATAGGATTCCTGGTTCCGCGCAATGCCATGGTCCATCTGCTGGACGAAGGCTTGCTCTGCTGTTGGAGCACTGGTGCTGCCCATGTTCATGTCTTCATCATCAGAGGCATTTGGGTTGGGGGCGCGCTTGAGCGGCATCTTGCTCCTCATGTTGTAAGGCGATATGTACTGGGGCGGAGGTAGTTCTTCGGAGCTGTTGGTGGCATCGCTGAGCATGTAGATGCCAGAGTCGAAATTGCGCTCGAATTTCGTCTTCTTCACCTCTGGGGTCGTGTGGGCAGACTCGCGACTGTCCCACCACGCGCCCTTGCGTTTGTTCTTGTGGATACGAGGGGATTCGTAGTTGGTCACATCGACGGATTCGCGAGAGTCATCGCTGGAAAAGACGGGGGGCGGCGAGCTCGACTTGGTGGTGAAGGCAGTATATTTGCGCTCAAAGAAGGGGTTGGGCGGGAGGTCCATGGTGGTGCACGCGAGCGGTGGTGACGACGGGGGCGCCTCGTCGAAATCCATGGCAGAGAAGATTTCTGGAGAGACAATCGAGCAGAGAAGGCAGGCGGACGGTTGATTATATGGCGTGTCGAACTTGCAGTCGCGCCAGAAAGAAATGAGGCGATGGCTGGGAGCTGTGGGGAGAAAGATGCGGCGACGCGTTCCTTGGGCCTCGGACGCGCCCCCACCCGGCGAACCAGGGTCTCACTGCCGTCATCACCCACGCACAGACAGCGTTCCCACGTGCACAGTCGGATGCTCAGGTACCGTCGCATCAAGCATATCAAGTTCATCGTGTCTACCACTCTATCAGCCAACATCATCTCTACAGCCCCGCCATACGTCTGAGGGCTACATTGGAAACCAGCCGCCCCTCCATGCCAATGTCCTTGCCCTCTAACCTTTCGCCCCGGGACATGGCCAGCTCTGTCATGACGGCTCCCATCTCCTTCGTTGGCGTCATCATGGCCTTGTAGACTAGATTCATTGGCGCTATCATCGCCTTCTTCCACGCAGCCTGCGGCGGTATGAACGGATGGATCGCCGTATGCTTTGTCCAGTCCACCCCCCCTGGCCTGACGTTGTACACCCTGAACATGGGCTTCGATTTGCCCAAGTCGAGAAGCTCCGACTCGACCTGTCCTTTGACTCGTCCGTATAGCGGTGTGAAGGTGCCTGGCGCTTGCGTAGCGCCCTCGCCCGAGACATGGACAAACGTAAAGGGTGAGTCTGGGTGCATGGTAGAGAAGGCGCGCGCAGCAGCCATGGCATAGTCGTGCGTTATCTCGACATATTGCCTGAGCAAGCATGTTAGCATAAGGCCTCTATAGCAGTTTATAGAAAACAGCTCACTCCTTGCTGACAGCATTCTGTGACTCGCCCAAGGCCCACACGCAACCCTGTGCATCCTTCAGATCTTCCAGTAAGACTTGGTCGTAGTTGTTGAAGTCTGTATGAATGATGACTTTCGCCTTGGCATGTCCATCGGCCATCTTGACAGGCCGTCTGCTCAGGATCGAGATACGACTAATGCTCTCCTGTGCAAGCATATTGTCGAGGACCGACGTGCCGACCAGCCCTGTCGCTCCAGTGAGTATGAGATGCATGGCAACTGCGCTTCTTCGTTTGATGTGCTGTTTAGCTGTCTAATCGTGGTTCCAGAGTCGTCTGTTGTATATGCCTGCGTGCTCAAGCGTAAGCGCTACCATCATGGTCAGTTGTGATTAACGGGCGTAATGTCCCCCAATAGCAACGGCGTTAACTCCGTGCAAGATTGACATCTGCGCCACATTTTGCACGAACGCTGTCTGTATGCGATCAGTAGACTCGACCGGGCAGCTCTGCGGTGTTAACACAGCTCCGGCGGTCGTCCGGCCCGTCACGCTGGAAGGCCAACGCGCTTCCAAGGTTGACTAAGCTGGCGGCTTCCAAGCTTCACGAAGAGGGCGCCCAAGAACTCCCTCCATTGGAACCCAAACATGCCTTCCTATCGACATGGGAATTATACAGTTCACAATCGCTTTTGCAGAGACGCGTAATGACAGGCTATCAGGCTTCCGCAGCCCCCTGGCGATCAGCCGTGGCGAGCGGGCGGGATTTCGCTTTGCCCGGCTGCGAGAAAAGCGACCAGGTCCAAAGCAGGATGACTGTCTACCCACAGCCTCTGCCGCCCTAGGTAACTGTCCTTGCGCTCTCTCCACCCACGTTTTTCTCTGTCACTTCATTCCTTCGAGTCGCTCTTTTGCTGCTTTTCCTTCGTCTTCGCGCAATCATGGCTGCCGCAGCCACGGCTGCCGCGGATCCTCGTATCGTGAGACTGATTCTACATTTTCTGTCCGACATGAAGTACAAGGACCGTAGACAGCAGGGACCCGACCAGCCGGTTGAACTTCTCGAGTTTCGGCCCACGTTGGTACCCTCAATCATGGTCAACAAAATCTGGGCAAACGAGGGTACGTCTATCCTGTGGAGACGCTACCCGCACCTTCCGGCTCTGCAGGACATGACCTTCGACCGAAGACAATGGTATGCGAACAAAGTCGAGAGGCTGTTCGTATTGGGACCTACAGACGGTGGCGGAGATCTTGCATACCTCGAAGGCTTATATTGGCCAAAAATCGAGATACTGGAGCTGGAAATAGACTGGGCGACGCATTCAAAAGCAATCAACACTATGCTGCACACAGGCCTTACACAACTGGAATTCCTTGGATCGCAATCTGGTAATTCGCATTACGTCGCTGGCACTGTTCTTTCAGCCTTTTCCGCATGTACCAATCTCTCTAGCATTACCTTTGGTCCAGATGTCTTCTGTCCTGAAGATCCTGTGTCTTATCAAAACCTGGTAGATGTGATCGACTCCGTGCCCAGCATCACGAACGTGCGATTGATGAACGCTAGCCTTTCCGGCAAGGATATGCTGTTCAGACATTTAAGTAACCGACCAGGCCTGGAAACTCTACACATCGACCTCGACCCTGGCCTGCAACTATTGCCATACTTATCGGGTCCCGTTGCGCTTGTTTCCCCTTTCTCTTCGCTCAGGCAGCTCCACCTCAAGTGCTATCCTGAGTTGGCCGTTGCACTTCTTCCTCACCTCCCACTTGTAGAACAAGTACAACTAGACATTGCTAGAATACCAGAGCGAGCACAGCAGGATTGGGATTTGAATGTTCTTGATCTCATACTAGCTCAGATGGCGCAATGCGGTGAACTTCGATCAATGCGAGTCAACGTTGGCGCACTCGCGCAGAACTTTCCATCGGCCGTATCACATCCACTCCTTCACGGTGAGGCTTTGGTGAACCTTGCCAATGGCTGTCCCAAATTGGAACATGTCGACCTTCTTGCCTCGGAACCTAGTGCAATAGATGGGTCTTTGATTTCGAGCCTCCACTTCGAAGCATTTTGTAGGAAGTTGCCGCAACTTTTGAGCCTCAGCATGAAGCTTCATCCACAAAGTGCAATCGATCTGGAATCTACCGCGCTACCGAGCCTCGGTAAATACTGTCCCCTGCTTGAAACCTTGCGCATGAAAGTTGCACTCCATCTTCCGGATCTACAGACACTACGGGGTCTTCCGCATCCGAAAGCCTTCGAAACCGCGCTTGACGATTATTCTCAAATTGAAGATGCACTTCAAGCGCCTTCCATAACACTTGATGGTCACGAAAGAAGCGCTTCTGTGGATCAAAAGGATCTCTCCGGTAATGGAGCTTCGAATAGTCCGCTCTTCCAGTTCTTGACGCACGTCGCCTTCGCACGTCCTCAGTCAATCCTATCGATCGTTAGTGATGCGTACACTGTTTCATCAAATTCCCAATGTAGCTCTGTGGTCGATCCACTCGTTGAAGAAGAGCTCGTCCGGTTATGGGCACAACCACTTGCAGCGCACTTTCCTCGTCTGGAGATATTGGAAGCATGGAGTGACTGGACAGGACAGGACAACGAGTCACTGAGCTATTTTCTACCACACGAGGAGCTACTGGCGAATGTTTGGGATTTTCTGAGTGGAATTGAGCAAGACCTTTGGGAGACCGGAGAAGATGCAGAAGAGGAGGTAAACAACGAACCGGATTGGACTGAATACCGCAAGGAGCGTTTCAGTATGGACAGTTATATCAGTGGCGATTGGGAGTTGGCCAGTCTCGTAAACGAATTTCCGGTAGAAGAGGACTTCGATGACAGCGCTTATCCGACGGCATACGCCGAAGAGCCAGAGGGAATGATTACGCCCGGAAGGAATCTAGACGATGATGAGGAAGCCTACTTTGGTCGTACAAACACGAAGTACATTACTGTTTCTGGCCCGTGAGCATTTGTCAATACATCATATGCCGCAAAAAATGGAGCAAATATATATTCTGGGCGCAGAACAACATGTTTTTTTACGCACAAGAGTATGGCTGCCATTCTAGCACTTAACCAATATCGTTAGAGTACACAACTACACAGCAAACTTACGATCCCATTCTCAAGACATGGCTTCACGCAGCATAAGGAACACGTTTTGGGGCCAGCACACACGACTTGTAATAGGTTCGATAAAAGTTCCATTTGTCTCAAAACCTCTACCCTTTTGCTGTTCTCCAATGTATTGCATATGCTATACCGAACGGCTTCCCTTATTACACTGCCATTCAATGAAATAAGAAATATACATCCCATTGCTTTCCGAAGTCTGTGGCACTCATGACCTCCCAAACAATTACTATTTAAAGATCTGTCATTCACCTATGAAGATAGACCAATGAGAGTATAGCCCTCATTTAGGTACATCAAAGGATCTACTTACAGCTTCAGTCCCCGGCGAAAATGCTACTACAGGCGGTGGGGGTGTCTTGGGTAGCTGACGGGGAGCGGAGGCTGGCTCTGGTAACGGCCGTTGCGTGTAGCTGGGATTTAGGACCTGGAAAGGCGTACCGGGGTATAGATATTGATCAGGAGCACTAGGCCCGATATTTACTGGCGAGGGAAATGGTGGGGAACTTCGAGGCGAAAGAGTGACATCAGGTGCTGCTTTATTCAAGTCAGTATGCATTAGACAGTTTAATGTGGAATTGTTGGCCCTGACCTTGTGAACAGCCTGAGTCTGGATACTGGCCTTGACCTTGACTTGGCTGAAAGCCCTGCTGCTGATGGCCTTGATCGCGCTGCTGCCGGCCGCGACCCTGATCTTGTAGATAGCCTTGCTGCTGATGATCTTGACCTCGACCTGAGGGTATGTCTTGCTGCCGCTGACCGCGATCTTCTTGCTGCTGACCGCGACCGCGACCGCGAACTTGTTGTGTTGCCTCACGTTCTGCTGCGCGACGAGCGATACGCTCTTCGTGGGCACGTTGGTTGGCTCTACCCGACTCACTGTTTTGGTGGCGTTGCCTAGGGCCAGGCATTGTAAGTCGGGTGGTCGATATAGTAAAGATTGAGTAATTGAGCGGTCGAGCGTATAAGTGTAAGAAGTAAGCGAGTAGTAATCACAGCTAAGAAGGAAGAGTCTTCGATGAGCGTGGGGTAAGTGAGTGCGTGGTAGTCGTTTGCTTTGATATGGTCTAAGCGTCTGCATGTTATTAGTACAACAGTAACTGGGGCCCACTCGGTGACTAACCTTGCCATTGACAATGGTGCTACTGTTGTGACATGTCTACTTAGAAGTGACAGACAAGCTCACGACACGGGTGCAGTTCGACATAGTAGGGAATGATGGTTAGTGGTTCTGCAGACTGTTAGCTGACAGACGACTCATGACATTGCGGAAGGGTACTCAACCGACTCGAACGTGCAAGGAAGTTTAATGACCCAACTCTAAAATCTAAAAGATCAAGTGCCATCCATTCAAGAGCTGTCATGGCCATCAAACGAACCCCGAGTAGTTAAGAGAACTGACTACTATCGCCAACAGTAAGTCAGGAGATGACGGACAAGTCACCATTTCTCGGAAACGCCCTCAAACGACTCGACAAGCAAGAAAGTTCAATGGAGCAGCTCTAGGATCTTCCAGAGACCAATTGCCATCGTCATCGCTAAGTCAAGAGCCCACTCAGTCAAAGGAACAACCAACTGCCTGGATGCGAGATTCGCGATAGGGCGGCCCATGCCAACCACCGCCCAACTCCCACCGTCACAGTCAAGTCAAGAGCCCACTCAATCAAAAGACTGTCCAGTCAAGAGCCCACTCGATCAGAAGATCGTCAAGTCAGTATGTCATGTAGCAGCGCGTTCGCTGCTACTGTCGTCGATGTCGACATCGATGCTCTCGGAGCAGGGCATTGTCAAGGCAGGCAGTCGTTGTGCCATGGACGGGAAGGGGAGCCGGCCAAACTTTCGATCTGTCAAACGTCAGCGTCAGCGTCGAGCGCCTCTTCTCTCTTCCACTGTCACCACCGGTCAGACGCAACACTATCTGTAGTTGTAGAATGTCGTTCGTGTGTTCTAACGCAGTTGCTTCGCGTCTTTGCTTTCCTTTTGTGTTGGACAACATGTCCTTCTGCTGGCGGGTCATGGAGGAATCCGTTTGATGGGCTGAAGCACATTGGCAGGCGAGCCGAAACGACAGAGGAACCGTGTGTAAGCATACAAGAGTCACTGGAAAAGACCAGCTGCTGAGAGTACCCTCCTGAAGAAGCAAGAAGCACACGTGCTGGACAAATCCATCCTTGGACGCACTCCGGAGCTAGTTGAGCGTCACCCAGCTACCAAGAACAGATATCACTATCCAAAGGATAAGTAGAATCCTCATTCCTTCAGTCCGTAGAACAAAGACGTTTGTGCTTCTATGTTAGACCCTGTAACGCTACCTGGGTAGTCGTTGGTTGTGTAATTCGCTACCGACGATACTCCGGGGTATGCCATGTGTTATGGGTAGTCACTCGCAATATATAGGGCGAAGAAGGGTCTTGTTCGTTACTATGGAGTACGAAAAGTGCAAGCGCCGACTCGAATGGTGCGCCAAGAGCAAACATGAACTAAACACGCTTCTGTTAGGTTTCTTCATAATGCTTCTAGACGTCTGTGGTAGAAGAAAGCCATGTCGGCCCGTCTGATCCCAGCTCATTGGATGATCGCCTTCGCGCTTCGCACAGAAGCTTGGAATCGATGACGCGACGGGAATTAGGCCTGCGAGGCGCAGCGATGCAGGGGTGTGCACGCGAGGCTTGTCATTTTCTTCGGCATCGCGATCTCTAGGACACCGAAGACGCATTCGATGATGACTAGGACTCGGCGACTGGGCGTTGTCTGGGCAAATCAGGTCGTTGCCGAGGCATGTTCGCGTAGGCCTGTAGAAGCGAAGCGGACAGCGCTTCGAGTCAGGCCAGGATCTATGTCGACGCGAAATCGTGGTCGTGACCATGACGGACGTCGAAATAAAGGTGAGATCTGGCGCTTTCCGTGACAGGCGTTGCCCCAGCTCTTTGGAGCAGAGTGAGGTAAGCCGGGCCGTTGGCAGGGAGTTTAGGGCTTTTGAACGCCATGCTGTGTCATTCGTTCCCCTATGCCCCACCGGCACAACATCAATCCGCCATGCGCCTCGCCAGCGCCCGATGTGGACCATGGCGTGAGGGAATGGACAGGGGATGCGGTAGTCGAAGACGTCCGACAAGACATCGTCTGCTCGGCGTCGTGCCGTATACGCTGGGTACGGATGGAGGACATTGATGAGGTATTTGCCATCCATGGTTCGCTACCTAGGTACTAACCAATACCCTCTTTTTACCTGTCTACATCGCTCTTTTGTCTTTTTCTGGTTGCCTTTATCCTCCCAAAGTAGTTACACTCAGGACATACGACTTGGACGCCACGTGAACGACTCGATCCTAGACTTGCACCCTCAGCGCGCCCACCGCGGGCAACGGCCGCGACCATGGCAGGCGCAATCGTGAGCCAGACATGGATCCTCACCAAGAAGACGCTGCTCGTTGTCTTCGTTCGCCACTGGTTCTTCACGAGCGTGCGCGCTTTCTGGGCTCCCATCATATTTGTACGTTCACCTACATGTCAACGGCGGGGCCATGGCTGACCAGGCGTGTGCAGATGTTCTTCATTACCTACGCAAAGAACTTCTTCGTCCCACCCTCCGAGTACGGCATCGGTACCCCGTCCCTCATACGCTCCTTCCCCAACGCGCTCAGTGCTGCCACGGGCGGTCGCGACAAAGTCGTCTTCGTCGACAACGGATACACAGGTGGCGATATCGAACAGGTCATTGCACAACTCTCGACTCAGGTCCGTGATGCCGGCCTACAACCCATCACAATCCAGCAAGACGTACAACTCCTCTCCACGTGCGAGAGCTCTTTGCGCGGTGCCAGTACGTGTTATGGTGCAGTGTCCTTCCATTCCAGTCCGAGCCAAGGCCAAGGCCAGAGCTGGAACTACACCATCAGATCGGACGGAGCACTGGGAGAGGAGATCTACGTGGACCAGGACGACAACGACGTTCAGATCTATATTTTGCCCTTCCAACGCGCCATCGACCAGGCCATCGCCGCCGTTGACGGCTCGGCGACTGTTCCCGACATTGATGAGTATCCATACACAGAGCGTACGCAGCAGGAATATGACGATCGCATCAGGACGCTGTACATGGGTGCGCTCATCAACATCATGGGCGTCGCTCTGTACATTGGTGTATGCGGTGTGACTTACCAACTAACGGGCCAAATGGCAGAAGAAAGAGAACGTGGCATATCACAGCTGGTAGAAGCAATGTCTCCCGCCAAAAAAGCATGGCATACGCAGTTTGCCCGCCTTTTGTCAATGCACATTGCATTTGATATCATTTACTTTCCAGGCTGGGTCATCATGGGAGCTATTGTGTGGGCATTGGCTTTCAAAACATCCAATGCTGCCATATTGGTAATCTTCCATATTCTCGCTGGCCTGTCCTTGACCAGTTTCTCCATCTTCGGAGCCGCCTTTTTCCGCAAAGCCCAACTATCTGGTATCACCATTGTCATTGTCCCCATCCTGCTGGCCATTATCGCGCAAGTCGCTGGACCCTTCAGCACGGGTGCTGTATATGTCCTGAGCTTGCTGTTTCCATCCATCAACTACGTCTTCTTCATTATTTGCGTTGCCCGCTTTGAGAGACAGCTTATTGGTATGAACCTTGTAGGAGCCGCACCGGATTATGAAGATCATATTTGGACCACCCCCGGCATCGTGTTTTGCATCTTCGCCATCATCCAAACTAGCGTATACCCCTTCTTAGGAGCTCTTGTCGAGCGCTGGCTGTATGGTACCGTGTCGGCGGACAGGAAGACTACGACTTCCTCGCCGGATCACAACATTATTCTGACAAACTTTTCAAAGCATTGGACTCCAAGTTGGTTCCGCAGAAATGTTCTCACCAAGTTCGGAGTAAAGGCTCCAGAGACAGTCATCGCCGTGGATAATTTTAGCATGAAAGCGCGTAAAGGTCAGATCATGGTCCTACTGGGCGCCAACGGTAGTGGAAAGTCTACCACCCTGGATGCCATCGCTGGTCTCAACTCGATCACCAGTGGAGCCATTGAGATTGATGGTACTGGAGGTCTTGGACTGTGCCCGCAAAAGAATGTCATGTGGGATGAGTTAAATGTCTACGAGCATGTCCGCATCTTCAATCAGCTCAAGTCGACTGGAACTTATGACACAAAAGAGACCATTGAAGACCTTATCCGCGCTTGTGATTTGGGACACAAAATCAAGGCGCAGTCGAGCACGCTCTCTGGTGGCCAGAAACGGAAGCTTCAGCTTGCTATGATGTTCACTGGAGGGTCAAAGGTCTGCTGTGTTGATGAGGTTTCGTCTGGTTTGGATCCACTTTCACGAAGGAAGATCTGGGAAATTCTACTTGCTGAGCGTGGCGACCGCACCTTTCTGCTTACCACGCATTTCCTTGACGAGGCAGATGTTCTCGCTGACTACGTTGCCATTCTCTCTCGTGGTGTACTCAAAACCAAGGGTACTTCGGTCCAGCTCAAGCATGAAGTGGGTGCCGGATATCACGTCACGTATCCCAAGGACGCTCCGATCAAACCTCCAGTAGACGCCATCAAGAAGCCTGCACCCTCCGAGGGCATGGTTCAGTATCAGTTCGAGAACGCGCTGCCCGCTACCAGATTCGTCGATGTTCTTAGAGATTACGGGGTTAAGAATTACGACATCGTTGGCCCGACACTAGAAGATGTCTTCCTTGCCAACGCTGAGGAGGTAAAGGAATACAACCTCATGGATGCCGATCACGGTGAACAAACTGGAAGAACAGCATCAGACAAAGACCTAGAGGTACCTTCAGACCACAATTCTGATACTGACAAGAGATTGGAGATGGGCAAAGGCCGTGGTACTGGTCTGTTCAAGCAGATGCTCATCCTCGTACAAAAGCGTATGACCATCGTGAAGCGCAACTTCTGGCCATACATCTTTGCTCTGCTCCTCCCAATTGTTGCCGCTGGTTTGGTCACTCTCTTCTTGAAAGATTACGAGGCTGTGGGCTGTGACCCCGGAGCCAGCGCCAATGACCCTACCATCTTCTCACTTTCCAACGTGGACGACATCCCTCTCATTCCCATCGGTCCGAGGAGTACCGTTGGCCCTGCTATTGATACCATAATCCAACGGACAGGCATTCCCGAGGACAGCTTCTACGTCGTGGACACACTTGACCAGTTCAATGACTTCGTCAACACACGGTTCCGCAACATTACACCGGGCGGCTTCTTCTTGAACGAGAATGGTCCGCCAGTCATGGCGTACCTTGCAAATGGCGGTGTCGTCGGCGGCCTCGTCACATTAAATACCCTTGACAACATCCTAACGAACACCACCATCTCAACGCAGTATCAGCAATTCGCTGTGCCGTTCGCTCCTAATATGGGCGACACACTCCAGCTGATTCTGTATTTCGGTCTGGCCATGTGCGTCTACCCTGCGCTGTTTGCCTTATACCCCACACAGGAGCGACTGAGGAACGTGCGAGCGCTGCACTACAGCAACGGTATTCGGGCTGTACCACTGTGGCTGGCGTATACTGCGTTCGACTTCTTGTTCGTGCTTGTGATCTCTGCTGTCACCACAGGTATCTTTGTAGCAGTAAGTTCTTGCTTACGTTTTGTATAAACATTCGCAGCTGACAATACCGTAGGCTTCCGACGCATGGTATGCACCAGGCTACCTTTTCGTGGTCTTCTTCCTCTATGGTCTTTGTGCAACTCTTTTCGCCTACTTGATATCCATCGTCGTTACATCGCAACTGGCAGCCTTTGCCTTTGCTGCTGGTGGCATGGTGTCACTTTATCTCATTTACTTTATCGGTTACATGGCCATTCTGACTTACGCGCCCGCTTACGCCATCGACTCTTATATTGAGTACTTCCACTGGACCGTTTCGCTGATCTCGCCATCAGCAAGCTTGTTAAGGACGCAGTTGCTATCTCTAAACTCCTTTAGCGTATTGTGTGATGGAAACCAAATTCCAAGTTATCCCGGTGCTTTGACTGTGTACGGAGGGCCTATCTTGTACCTCGTCGTGCAAATCATCCTACTCTTCATTGCCCTCGTATGGTGGGATTCGGGATACCGACCAGCGTTCCTTAACCGCGAGAAGAGTCGTCAGCAGCATTCGGAGGAGACGGTGGACACCGTCCCTGCTGCTGTCGCTGCTGAAATCACACGCGCTGAGCAAAGCAAAGACAGTCTGCGCGCACTGCATCTACAGAAGACTTTCGGGTCTAACCATGCTGTCAACGACATCACTTTTGGTATCCCACAAGGTCAGGTCTTTGCCCTCCTTGGCCCTAATGGTGCGGGAAAGTCTTCAACCATTTCACTCATCCGTGGCGACATACACCCTACAACACACATCAACGGCGGTGGTGATGTTCTGATCGAAGACATCTCCATCATCAGCAAGCGTGCAGCGGCACGAGGTCATCTCGGTGTATGTCCGCAATTTGATGCCATGGATTCCATGACGGTAACCGAGCATCTCTATTTTTACGCTCGCGCTCGCGGCGTGCCCGATCCCAAAGCCAGTGTCGAGGCAATTCTCCAAGCTACCAGTCTGGGGCGCTTCCACGACCGTCTCGCATCCAAACTCTCAGGTGGCAACAAGAGGAAGCTCAGCTTGGGCATCGCCTTGATGGGCAACCCATCGGTTCTACTGCTGGACGAGCCGTCCTCTGGTATGGATGCAGCTGCCAAAAGAGTCATGTGGCGTACCTTGCTCGGAGTTGCGGCACCTGGTCGCGCCTTGTTGATAACTACTCACTCCATGGAAGAAGCAGACAAACTCGCCACCCGCGTTGGTATCATGAAGCGCAAGATGCTTGCCCTGGGTACTGTCAGTGATCTAGGAGAGCAGTACGGCGACGCTTGGGTCGTACAGCTTGTTCTCAAATCTGCGCCCGAAACCACGGAAGAAGAGATGGAGACTGTTAAGCAATGGGTCCAGAGGAAGATTCCTGGTGTTCAACTTGACAAATGGGGTTCGCGAGGTGGAGGCCACGGACAACTCCGATTCAAAGTTCTCAAAGCCGCCTCTTCCGAATCCACTGCATTGCCCGCACATGCTGAAAATGCGAAAACTGGTAAGATTACCGAAGCAGAGGTTCATCAAGTCAACACCACATCTTCGGCTGCTTCAGCATCCGACCTCGGTGGCATTCCTGGTCTTATCCAGTTGCTGGAGACCAACCGCAATGAGTTGGGTTTGGAGTACTACTCTGTTTCGCCTACCACCCTGGACGAAGTCTTCCTTCGCGTCGTTGGCGAAGAGGAGGAAGAGACGAGTGGGAAGAAGCCAGAGGGTACAAAGCGAAATCAGTGGGGTCGTTTCGTGTGCTGCGGCCTGTGGGGATAGTGTATGAATGGTACAACGGAAAGTAAGAGGTTAGACAACAGAAAGATAATGAAGAGGGGGGTTTGACTGGTTGGATGATGATTTTGTTTGCACAATCTGGCGTTCCAAGATACCACACAGCACTCGGCTTTTGTGTATAGACTGTCTAGCATTCTTACTTTTTTTTTTAAATGAATATCCTCAATCGATTGATTTGCTCATGATGTGATAATCGGCCTTGATGACCTTGTTCCTCGTAACCCTATCGTTTGGACTAGACTCATCCTTGGCGTAGCCCAGGCTCTCGTACATTCTCTTTGCGCGCTTATTCGCGGTGAAGACGGTAAGCATCGTCTTTTTGATTTGGCATGCGTGTGCCGCGTTCTCGATGAATTTGATAAGACGGGGTCCAAGGCCTTGTCCGCGCAGCTGCTCCTCGAGATGGATCTCGTAGATGTAGAGGACCTGGCGGTCTTGGTGCGGGGGATCGTCGTATGTGAACATGAAGGAGGTGAAGCCAAGAATGCCGTCGTCGCTACTGGTGCCCTCCATGCTACCCTGGCCAGCCGTGTCGATAGGGCGGCGACGCACCAGGAGATACATCATCTCGCCGTCGAGCATTTCCTCTCTCTTCTTGCGCGGGTTCCAGCCAACGCTTGATGCTTTGTAGTCGTGTCCCGAAGTCTTGTTGACGAGGCTGAGGCAAGCTTCGAGCTCGTCCTTGGTGAGGTCGAAAGCCGACGGGACAAACTGGAACGACAGCGGACATGGCAGATGCGGCGCGCCGTATGCGCTCAGGTATACGTCTTCTCGCAGCAGAGTCTGTACTGCCTGTACGCGTGCGACGACGTGCGCCATGTCGTGAATCTCGCGTTGTTTGCGACGGATTAACGTGGGTATCGGGCTGACTGCGGATGCGTGGGCTTGGTGGTTGGGCGTCGCGTCTGGTGGGGAAGACGCGACACGGGGTCCATGGCGTGAGTACACTCGACGCCCATTTCTGGAATCAGTGCCGGTAGTCACTCATCCCAGTTGTGTGTCCTTTCGAGCACGTCGTTTCGGGGCGCCGATCCTGCACGCGCATCCTTGGATGACTAGCATCATCATAGCCTAGCTTATTCGTCTCGATACGTCAGCCTGCATCGCTGTAAAGAGCCTCATCCAGTCGACCATCCACTACTTTCGTGTCCACATCCGCATTGTCAGATTCAGCTGATCCGAGTGTTCCACATACAACCGAGGGAATGCTGCGAAGATATGCCACGGTAGCGTCCAAGCCTCCGTCCCGGCTACGAGCACGAGGAAAGAGACCTGTGGGCCTGGACCACGTACGTTTGTCCAACACATGACTTACACTATGCAACGCCTGCTGATTGTCATATAGTTCATTCAGCGGCAACGCGTGTTGGCATTGTGGAGAGACATAGTCCGCAGTACCTCCAACATACCCGATGTAGGAGCACGGAAGGACATGCGGCAATTCGCAAGATCAGAATTTGAACAACATCGCTCTGTTACCGATCTCGTACGCTTACACTCCTTCGCCTTCGATATCCAAGTTAATCGCGATACAGGGTCACATTCGGTATCTGATTTCGGTACGCCGCTTTCAAAGCACACACAACATGACCTAGTCGCTCACTAACACCTACATAGTATGGAAAGACGCAGTTCCAGACCATGAAAGGGACTCTGATCAACTCTGGAGTACTCACTGAATAGATTTCGTTGTTTCAAAATCGCCCTTCCGCATCTGCCATCATGTCCTGCGCTGAACCTTTTTTCTCATTGGTTGATCCTCCGAGGGGCATCTCACTAGCGTATCACAGGCTAGCATCGGACTTCTCAACACCACCTCACTCTCTCTGCAGATCTGCTAATCATCATTCTCTCAAAGCTGCCCCAAGCTCTACGCTGCCGCACTTCGTGTTTGAGTGCTTGGCACCCGCCCATATCTCCGTTGGTCATTCCCCCGCTTCGCCGCCACGCAGCTCAGCCGGCGATGACTGCCCATAGAGAGGAACAGTCTGTCTGCATTGTAGGAGCTGGGCCTGCAGGGATAGTTGCTGCGAGGACTTTGAAACAGCATGGCTATGTGGTTACCGTGTATGAGGCAGCAGACCGCGTAGGTGGCATGTGGAGAGATGGACATGGAGGACCAAGTGACAAATGCAGTCCAGAGATGCGGACCAATTTGAGCAGATATACAGTTGCATTTTCCGATTTGCCTTGGACTTCGGTAGACTTGGATCTCTCGAGACCCGCTGTGCATCCACTAGCTGCTCCGCCCATGTTCCCTAGAGCGTGGCAAGTGGGACGATATCTTGAAGCATACGCAAAAGGCTTTGGCATCACTGATAATCTGCTCCTGGGGAAGCGGGTTGTCCAGGCATCCCTGCAAGAAGATCGTACCTGGAAAGTTATCAGCGACGACGGTACCGGCCAGCTAGACTCCCGTACGTTTGACCGATTGATTGTGGCTAGTGGTTTCTTCAACAAGCCAGCTGGTACCTTCGATCCTACTCCTTCTACAAGTCTTCCAAACATCCAGCACTCCTCAAAATTTCGGTCTCTCTCTGAGTTGACGAGTTCTCCCGGAAAGGTGGCCGTGATCGGGGGTGGTATTAGCGGCTCAGAAGCTGCCGCACAGCAGAGTTGCTATCAGTCAATCAGTCAGTTGTCAGTTCATCTTTGCGGTTCAAACTGTCAGTCTGGAGGTAGTGAACTGACCTGATTGACTGCCAAGACATTTTTTAGAATCGCGAACTGAGACTG